TTCGCTGATCACAGGCAGATGAAGCATGTAGCTGCCTTCCGTCGGGCACCGCCAGGGTATTATATAGATGGTATTAGTATAAGCACAATATCAGAACCCATCTTAGGAGAATGCAGCCCCATGCAGTCCCAAGGTCAAACAAGCTGTGGCTCGCTTTTTCTGTACGTTTCTACCATTCAGATCTGAGCTGAACTTCCCAGTCTCAGGCACTGTGGTGAAGCCAGTGGTCGGCGTGGGGAGTGCCGCCTCAGACATCATCACTGGCATCTCTGCCGCCGCCACCTTTGACTCCCCAGCCAAGAAACGACGCCGGGAGGGGACCGGAGGGAGAGAGACGCAGAGACTGGGTCGTAGAGCACCCCACACCCTCGCATTGAAGCTACTTGTATCATCTTGGATACGAAAGAACCGAGTTGTACCATAGCCGTAGCCTTTGTGAAGAATGACATAGTGCCCGAGGTGCTTGTTTAGGCATTATTCAAGCCTTGCAGCATTTGTTCTTTGCTCTTAAAGACGGTTTCTATATTGTAACATTCCATTCCATGAAACAATACTATGTAAACACTTGACGCACATGCAAATGTACGACAAATATAGATGAATTATATAATAAAAACACACACACACACAAATACATGTTATTTATTGAGTTTCTTGTCCAGCATCCGGATTCAGACCTGTGAAGCCCCCATCCCTTCCAGGCCGCGAGCGTTGCCGGTGCCGTGGACCTCGAATGCTCTACGGACAGTTTTTGGGCTGCAGGGACTCATGTTTGGCTGTTCTGAGGGACTCATGCATTCAGAATTCTCCGACAATTGAACTCCTGAATGACAATGGAAGAGATCATGAAAGGAAAGGATGACAGTGAACACATATGAAAACAAGGAAAACTGAAAGGATGACAATCGAAGAGATCACGTCCCTTTTGGTCAATTGTAGCTATTGATTGATCAAGACCTTTGAGCACCGATACTTTTGAGGAAAGCTCTGATATCAGAACAGAACTAGAACGTTTCATATCAAAGGCCTTGAAGTACTGAGGATGTGCATGTTCTGGAGAGTCCCTGGACCACATCACATGCGTTGAAGCATACAATGCTCTACGACACCTTGTAACCTGACGAGGACACCCAAAACCCAAAACTGATGCATGCCTCCAAGCACTGCTGCCAGTGCATTTTGGAACCACCCTAACTGTGTGTTCCAAGAAAGTTGTGAAGAGTGTTCTCAAATGTTCTCAACATCTTTGTGTTCCAAGTGAAACCCAAACAAGACAAGCTGCAGACAGGGGACAGCTTTGCCCTGGGAACCAAGACAAACTCGTGGATTTGGCTGACTTCTTTCCTCGAATTTGTTATTCCAGGCAGAATGCCAGAAGGTAGGCCATGCTCTATGTAGGCCATGACTCGTGAGGTTCTCAAGATGCTGATCCGCCCGAGAAGCACTCGAGTCTCCGAGGTCCGCAGTGATGCGAAAATGGAGCGACTCGGATTCCCAGCTCTTGCTGCAGCTGGGCGCCATGGCAGAAGGAATCCGGGTGCCTTGGACCGCATCTAGAGATGAATTGGAGATAACTAGTAACAAGAAGCTACTAGGGGCTCCTGGCACCGCTACTAGGAGCAAGGACGCTACTAGGGGCTCCTGGCCGTACTACTAGCAGCAAGGACGTTACTAGGGGCTCCTGGCCGTACTACTAGGAGCAAGGACGCTACTAGGGGCTCCTGGCATCGCTACTAGGACGGAGCAAGGACGCTACTAGGGGCTCCTGGCATCGCTACTAGGAGCAAGGACGCTACTAGGGGCTCCTGGCATCGCTACTAGGAGCAAGGACGCTACTAGGGGCTCCTGGCATCGCTACTAGGAGCAAGGACACTACTATGAATCAGGATGAATCGCTACTGACTGAGGAGATCATCCCACTGGCCTCCAGTGCTTTTCACCGCTACGTTTTGTTGCTCTACTCGGATCCTTGGTCTTTTTGGGCAGGAATTGTATGTAAAGACCCTGCAATCTCTGTGTCACTGTGTCACTGTGAAGGAAAGAGCTTCGCTTTCTGCGTTCATGCTCTTAGAAACCTGACGTTCGCACGTCGCAAAAAGGGAAACACCTCCGACCTGAACTTCTAGTGTTTCCGTTTCGCATTTCTTTGGAACCCCAAGAACGAACAACGACACCGATTTCGGTGTGTTGCCATGGCCCCCCATCTGCTTCCACGACGCCCCCGGAGGATCGCTTGGTCGTGGCGAAGCTTCGAGGATCGCGGGCCTCGTATGGTCGCCATTCCACACAGGTGGACCTGTCGGGCCGGAAGACCTCGGCCCGAAGCATTGAAGGCGCCCATTTTTCGGAGACGCCCGTTTTTCGGAGGTCGGGCCGTTTTTCGGGGTTTGGTGGTCTTCCTGAGTCTTCCTGAGTCTTCCTTCTTTCTACATTTACATGGGATGTTCCATTCATTTGAAGGTGTTTGAGTCCTTTTGGGTCCTTTTGGGTTTCTGAGTTTTTCTAATTATGATACTCTATCTGATCCGGAGCGACAAAGTTGTCTTGGGACAATTCCCCTGGCTCTTTGGAGTGACAGTGTTTCTGAGTGACACGGAACACCTTCGGCCCACATTAAACGTGGGGAGACGGCGATGTGGAACCGTCCTCCCAAACATCCGCACGGATGTGGTCTTTTTTGGCCTGGCTGGTGATGTAGAGGCCACGGGCACAACGGAGGATCGGCTCGTGGTTGGTCGGTTGAGGCCACGGGCACAACCACAAGCTGGATGGGAGCTTCCCTGAGCTACTGCAGTCCATGGACGATGTGGTACAGAGGCAGAGCTGCAGTGGTTGAGTGGTGATGGGCGCTTCGTCTAAGAGGTTCATCCAGAATTGAGGATCATCCAACTGTCCTGGTAGGAGATGTATCATGATGTATGGAAGATACTCTCCTTGGGCCGAACGCTCTATTTTGAGTTTTTGAGTGGGGAGGGTTTTGGCCCTCCAACTGGCTCTAAGTCTGGCTCATTGGCAGGTGTAGCAGCGACCCCAGCTCAGTGCCACAGAATCCACATACGGGTCTGGCCCGGGGCTTGCTGTTCGAGGACATGAAGGAAGCAATCTTTTCAGGTGCCGAGTTCCGGTCTTTTCATCGAACGACCGGGTTTCAGGACTTTAAGCTTTCTGTATTGCTTGAGCAAGTAAGAACATGCAAGAACCCATTGTGATCCAGTCACTACTGTTGATTTTTGCCCCATGCTTGACTGCTGTCGAACTTGCAGCGATGGCGTTTTGAAGAAGCTGCATGTTCAGTTTCAATCGTTTGGTTTCTCTTGCATTCTCGTATTGGATTGTTGCCACTCTCACACCCGTGCAGATATCGATGAAGAGCTGGTTGTGGAAGACTCTCAAGGCAACAGCCATCACATCCCCTTGATGCTGGAGTCTGATGCCAAGGCGAGGTTACGCCGTTCAAACTCAGGTCCGCTGGGGTCCAGAACAGAACATCGAAATCGTTCCGTTCCGGCCTCCGCTCCCACGGAGAAACCAAACATTCCAAACCACAGCTTTCTGTGCGGTTGGGAGACTAATGAGCGCAAACAGGTCATCACGCAACCGGCAGAATGCGCAAATCTTTGCGAATATCGAGATCACTTTCAAGCTGCCAAGTTCTGATCTTCACTTAACTTCGGGTATAGCCGCATTTCCATATGTCCATTCTCCATCCAAAAGTGATCCAAAGGTGATCCAAAGGTGATCCGAGTGATTTTTTATGGGGACACGACATGCATGATTTTGCCAAGTGAGTTTGCTTCCATCCTCCAGGAGGCCTTTCAGAAGCTCATGCAGGAGGCCGCCGCTGGGCGACCTGACTGGCGCAGCTTTGCGCATCGCTGGCGACCCGAAGAGGAGGCGGTGGGACCGTTGTCGTTTGATCTCTTCATCGCTGTCTGAGTCTGAACTGTCCAAGTACGTGGCCTCCAAGTCTTGACAGTCCAAGCAGGTTTGGAACAAGCTGCCAAAGATGGAAGATGGACGTCGACGTATGTAGACGTATGTAGACTGTAGACGTCGCAAAATGGTGCTGCTGTCGCTCGGTCGCAACTGGCTCCAGGTGCACGAAACTGCGATTCGACCCAGGCAGCGGGAGGATGGTCAGTTGCAGGTCATTCAGCTGTGATTCAGAACGTTCCAGCTGTCAGGATTTTTAGAAATGCTAGGCAGAAGATGCCGCGCTGGTTTTGAAACAAAAGATGCCCAAGGCACATGTACTTGTACAGAGTACAGAGTTGCACTTTTCCATGTACCCTAACAATGCCAATGAAGGTTGGTTTGAAATTCAAGAATGCACCCTGTGACACAGCTCCAGGGAATAAGGGGCAAGACCTCACTTGAGCTGAACACTTGATGGTACACGTAGACAACACAGACAACCCAGAGCTTCAACCGTTGATACAATTCTTTGAAAGGTTTTGCTTCTTCTTAGTTCTTTTGAGCGTAGGATTCGTAGGCGAATTGGCCTTAGGCCCAATGAGTGCCTGGCCTGTGAATCATTCTCATGCCAAGCAGAGGAGCTGTACAGCACCCGAAGGGGTTGAGGCAACCACAGAAGCAACGGATGGCAATGCCGTGGCTTAGCCCTTTTTAGTAAGCTCCTCAAGTTGACAAAGTCTGCGCAGAGAGTGGATTCGATTCATAGTGTCCAAAAAGGCGACGAGAGAGGTACTCTGCTTGCAAGACACTGCATGATCAAACCCGATCGCACATCCAACACCACAAGGGCTCCTTGCATATTGTCCACGGATGATCACGGATGTCCACGGTCTCAGTATACGGCATCCGCATTTGGGTCTTTTCCGGATTCATCAAGCCTTTTTCCAGACTGCTTTGGATCAGGTCAGATCAGATCCGCTTTTTCGCTAGATCCATGCAGCAAAGCTTCACTGATCCTGCTGGACCAACAAAAATACTATGAACTTAAGGTGTCCTGGCTTTGCTTTTGTCCGGTAAACCCGCAGGTGGAGCGATCCAAGCAGATCAAGGACTGCCTCAGTCGCGATCCGAGCAGCTTTTGCCGATCCGTCGCTTTTGCCGATTTTGGGGATTTCCGCATTCTGTGCCAACCAGTTGCTTCGTCCTTTTGGAACGTCTGAGATCCTCTCCCCAAGAAAGAGTCCTGGGATGTCCTGGGCCATCGTGTTCAGGTCTTTGGCGCTTGGGCATTCGCAACGGCAAAGCTCCTTGTCAGATCTGGAAAAGCATATCTGTTAGGTCTGTCCTATACCTGTAGCAGTTGGTACAGTTCGCAAACAATTTAACACTTTATAACTATGTTAGAAAGGCCTTTACTAATCATCATCATCCACTGTTACTGGTAATGAGATACACTGAGATACACCCAACATATCCGTAGCACCTATATAATGGGATCTCAGGGACCTGACAACAGGCGTGTGTGGTCAGGGCATGTCAGGGCCACCAGGCACGACTTCTGATGCATCCAAGTTGATGGCAACGGGAGGCTAGTGATATTGGATGTCCTGAAAGCCGTCTAAGTCTATGTGTAGCATTGTGTAGCAACATCTCGGGGAAACGCCATGCCAGACTGTTGTGTGGGCCAAAGGGGAAAGCGCT